GAAGAAGAAGAAGAAGAAGAAGAAGAAGAAGAAGAAGAAGAAAAAGAAGAGGAAGAAGAAGAGAAAAAGAAGAAGAAGAAGAAGAATAAGAAGAAGAGGAAGAAGAAGAAGAAAAAGAAGAGCAACAACAGCAACAACAACCAGGAAGTCATCAGCAACAGCAACAAGAAAAACATCACCACCGTGACGACGACGACGACGACGATGATGACGACAACGACAACGACAACTGCAACAGCAGCAGCCGCAGCAACAACAACATTAGCAGCAGGAACAATAACAACAATAGCAGCTGGAGCAACAGCAGCAACAGCAGCAACGACTACAGCAGTAACAACAACAACAACGACGACAATTCCACAGTGAAGTTATAAGGACATACAGGATATACGGACATACAGGACATAAGGACATAAGGACATACAGGACATACATACATAAGGACACACATAAGGACACACATAAGGACACACATAAGGACATACATAAGGACACACAGGACATAAGGACATACAGAATGTCAGAACATAAATATAATCTCATCCAATCATGCAACCAAACAGACTATGCAGCGATTTAAATTATCCAAGTAATTATCCTATAGTAATTAGTAGAGTATTAGTAGCGTAGTAGAGTAGTAGAATAATTAGTTGAGTAATTAGTCCAAATCACAAGATCATATCGCGTAATAACATACTGCTGACGTCACGTAATCCGTTTTGTATTCCAAGATTTAGAAGATGTGCTCTCACGATATGGGATTTATTGGCTACGCGTTGATCTCGCTTATCGACCGAGGAGCTCGCGATATGGAATTTATTGGCAAACCAGACATCGTGCGCACTCACCCGCTGACGTCATTTGCGTCGTTGTAAGCGAGGGGGCAGCCCACGTGATAGTCACGTGAGAACGAGCGGCCATTGTTCATTCGCGCGTGAACGGTGACGTAATTTTCGATCCCGGGTGACCTCAGCCAGGGATAGCGCGCGTTAAACTGCGAAGGAAATTGATATTAAAAAAAAAAACATCAATACAAGACATGCTGAGTGTAACAGCATTACTATACACACGCACACGCACGCACGCACGCACGCATGAACGCACGCACGCACACACACACACACACACACACACACACACACACACACG